CAAGGGCACTGAAAATGAAACATGGCTGACAATGATCCCAAGCACACCACCAGAGCCACGGAGTGACTTTGTAAGAAGCATTTCAAGGTCCTGGAGTGGCCTAGCCAGTCTCTAGATCTCAACCTTATAGAAAACCTTTGGAGGGAGTTGAAAGTCCGTGTTGCCCAGCGACAGCCTCAAAACACCACTGCTCTTGAGGAGATAGATCTGCATGGGGGAATGTGCCAACAGACCAACAACAGTGTGTGCCAACCTTTGAGGACTTACAGAAAATGTTTGACCTCTGTCATTGCCAATAAAGGACATATAACAAAGTATTGAGATAAACTTTTGTTATGGACCAAATACTTATTTTCCATCATAATTTGCCAATAAATTCGTTCAAAATTTTCTGGATGTGTTTTCTCATGTAGTCTCTCATAGTTGAGGTCTACCTATGATGTCAATTACAGGCCTCTCTCATCTTTTTAAGTGGGAGAACTTGTACAATTGATATCTGACTAAATACTTTCTTCCCCCAATGTAAGTTACTAGTAAACTGGAAGTATAAATTTTAAGTGATTCCTTTACAGCAATCTACTGGATGAAGGAGCTAAATTATTAGGATGATCTTGGCAGTGTGTTTGAAGCCTACAAGGCAAGTGTAGACATAGCACCTAACCATGGTTAGCACCAGCCATTATTATTATTTTGTCTTATTCCTGGTTAAGAGTGAAAATCAGCAGTGGCTTTGCTTGTCGTCTTACAAGTGGAGGAGCTAGAGGAGTTTAATCACAGTTTATTTGGTGCTGAAGTATTACTTAATCATGGCTTATTCAAACCATGGCTTGAAAACCTACTTCAAATCATGCTTTCATCTTCCAATCTCCCAGGCTATCCTTAAGCAAGGTTTAAGCATTTTGACATAATAGCTAACTGCAGTTAAGGAGAAACATATCACATTTTATCTGCATGGTAGCATGGAAGCTGAATAGTCAGTGTTATCTAAGTAAGTTTTCTCAATAAAAACAAACAAAGAACAAGTTTTTGTGTTAAAACAGTACAAAGGTCATTCCTAGCAAAATTCAATATTACAGAAACAGCATGAATCACTGATAGACCAAAATACTTAAGAGATATGTCTTAGTTGTAATTTAAGACACAGCTAACAGTTCAGCTGAACACGATTCAAAAGTACTTCACTAGAAGTGTACATGTTTACATGCATGTCTCTGAAGATATCCTGCAACTCTGGAGATATATTTATAATACTTGATGAGAACTGTACATGGGGAATAAGTGTATTCATTTTTACCTAGAGAACAACAGGCGGGGAAATTTTTTATCCTGAGTAAGAAGTAAAATCATGTTCGTATTCCTGCGGGGCACACTCCCAACCAAGTCCTTTGAACTGGCAGTATAAAATATCAAATGTAATGTTCTTGGCAATTTCACTTTATAAACACTTGGTCATTTTAGTTTATAAAGCAACAGGTACTTGGGGAGTGCAGAAAAGGCAGAGGCGTCTAAGAATTATTGACAATTTAAAGGGAATTACTCCATAATCCGTCTGCCTCAATGAAAATCAAGGCCACAAATTGATCAACAGTAAGTATTTTTAAAGTCCCATCTAAGTCAGAAAGAGATTTAAGCTACAGGACTTTAAAAAAAGGTTTATATGTAGCTGAGTGTGGCCATAATCAAATCGTAATCAAATCGTAAATTATTAAGACAGAGATGTGATATTGGAGCGTCCACCTGGGGGAGCAATAATCTTCTGCGCAGTACGTCTTGCAACGTGGTCATCTGTCTGAGATCCTAGAAGAAGAGATATGTAAGTGAATGTCTGCAAATAAACACATCGGGAAACACAATGATTAACACACCATTTCACTATTACAACTATGTGAGAACTACACAAACTTCATAGCCTCCAGTGGCACAAAGGGTTACCTCACTACCTTTGAGGATGCTTGCCAGAGATGCAGGTGAAACGTCAGGAGAGAATGCCTCTAGAACATGGCCATATAGCCCGAAAAAGCCTACAACAGCCCAGTGATTCCGGCCATGAAAGCCCTTCAATAATATAATCTGCACTAATCATCTCCAGGACTAATAGGTATTGCAATAGGGGTCCGTTTTTTACATGTTTTTTGTTGTTTATTTGTTCAGTTGTTTAGGACTCTTCGTGACCTCCTGGACCAGC